GCACAGATGGCTGAAAAGATTTTGGGGCCTGAGACAAAAAACAAATGATAGCAAAAATATAATACTACTACTACAAGACGAAAACCCACACAGTGGCATTTTGATGCCCTTTAATGGTGCACCAAAACCTGCCATGTAAGATGTGCTACCTACATCCTTGTCAACAGTAGGATTGGCTCTGTCTGAATGGGCTCCACAGATGGGACTTGCAAAAAAGGTTGCCAGATGGAGTGAGCTCCTGTTCAGTGTGGCAGTAGCTAGCCAGGATCTTCCAGATTCCATTCTACCCCCTAGGTTTTACAGCCCTCCCCGACCCAAGTCAGTCAGCATTCTGCTGTCACTGCCTCACTGAGCATGGTCATTGCGCTCTTTTGGGGTGCCCCACCTCTAGTTTTTCTACACTTCTCATTAATTTTCATTTAAGTTTTCATTTAAGACTTGGGGTTCCCCCATACCTCCTGAGGCCTCCCTCTTGTGCACAGACAGTGCCATTTGGGCTACATAAGGATCCACACTTGAAGATTGTGTTTTTGGTATCCCTAGGATATAAATCGGTTGCACTGATTTTAGAAGGGGTTTCAATCTGGACTCTTGCTGTGCCTGTATACAGCTGTAGGTCTGGACTCTCATTCACAGCATATCCCTAGCATCCACCGCCGGTTCTCATAGCTACCCACCCACATGCCCCGCTTCAGTTGTCTGTCTCTTTCTCATGATCCCTGTCTCTTGCTCATCCTCTCCACAACCTCTCTCTCACACACAACCACCTCCCCCTCTTCATTGTCTGTTTCACTCCCCGCTCAAGCCTTCCTTATTTCTTATGAAGGGCCATGAGCGCTTCTCTCGGCAGCTTGCTTGAATGTAGGAACAGAGCCAGAATTCATCTTTAAGCGCTGAAACTGGACACCATTTTATCAGTGGCCTGGAATGGGAAATTGGAGCCTGGGATGAGAGAGCTGAATAACTTGAGCTTGTTTTCATTTCATGTTTAATTTCCTGCAGGCTTAGCTCAGCCTTTCCGCTTCTTCCACCAGCCTCCCAGGGTTTTATGGGAGAAAAGGGATCAAGATATATTACTTCTCGCTTTGCTTTTTGTTGTGTTTTGTTTTTTCTTCACCCAGGCGGTGATTTTGCTACAGCAAAGTTTTGACATTTCCACCTTGCTTTCAAGACCCCGCCACATCACAGGGTCACCCATGGAAAAGATTTTCATTAACAAGCGAGCACTCAGGGGACGGACGGACGTTTCTTGGCACTCAGCACAGTGGAAGGAGGCAAGTTTGTAAGCTAGGCAACAGGCTGCCAGAAAGAAACCACCAACTGGGGGAAAGCAACTGGGAGCAACGCTGGGTGGATGTTCCTGTGCTACGTGGAAGCAGAGATGCTGGATCCCTTTTCTGTCCTCAGGGACCCATTAAGCTCCTTAAACTGAATCAGACCTACACTGATTGGCAGCAGCTTTCCAAGGTCTCTGACAAACTCTGTGGCAATGCTTACTACAGGAGCATTTAACTCAAGATGCTGGTGATCACATGGGGGGCTTCTGAATACAATGCATAAACTCTTTCCCTGAGCTTTGCCCCTTCCCTAAAGAAGTATTGTGAATGGATGTCTATGATCGCTTCCCTTTTCGACTGGCACTCAAGTCAACTTAAACATTCAGTATAGAGCAGGCCCATTCCACATAACACAGGGCAGCAAATCTGAGCTTGCTCCTAATTGTCCTCTTGGCAGGGAGCCACAGTCAATCCTTGCTTGCCTGATCAGCATACCTGTGTAATACATAAGCTTGCAATGGCCCGTCCTCTCCCAGCTCCTGCTCAGCATGCTGCTCAGGTGAGGTGGGCAGGTGGGACAGGGAGCACCTCCAGTCAGGGCAGCAGCTGCAGAGGTGCATCCCTAAAAAAAATTTTTGTGCCTGAGGCAATAGCTCCCCCCCCACACACACACTATGCTTCTGGCTGCAGCCACCACACCATTCTACCTGAGTCCCCTAATCTAGCCTGCTCTTTGCTCCCCCAGCTAGCCTGTTGCCCTTGGGTATGGTAAAGGACCTTTTAATTAAAGAACCTTTTAATGAGGGTGAAAGAGGAAAGCTCAAAATATGGTCTGAAGCTCAACATCAAAAAAACGAAGATCATGGCCACTGGTCCCATCACCTCCTGGCAAATAGAAGGGGAAGAATTGGAGGCAGTGAGAGATTTTACTTTCTTGGGCTCCATGATCACTGCAGATGGTGACAGCAGTCACGAAATTAAAAGACGCCTGCTCCTTGGGAGAAAGGCGATGGCAAACCTAGACAGCATCTTAAAAAGCAGAGACATCACCTTGCCAACAAAGGTCCGTATAGTTAAAGCCATGGTTTTCCCAGTAGTGATGTATGGAAGTGAGAGCTGGACCATAAAGAAGGCTGATTGCCGAAGAATTGATGCTTTTGAATTATGGTGCCGGAGGAGACTCTTGAGAGTCCCATGGACTGCAAGAAGATCAAACGTATCAGCCCTGAGTGCTCACTGGAAGGACAGATCGTGAAGCTGAGGCTCCAATACAGTACTTTGGCCACCTCATGAGAAGAGAAGACTCCCTGGAAAAGACCCTGATGTTGGGAAAGATGGAGGGCACAAGGAGAAGGGGACAACAGAGGACGAGATGGTTGGACAGTGTTCTCGAAGCTACAAACATGAGTCTGACCAAACTGCGGGAGACAGTGGAAGACAGGAGTGCCTGGCGTGCTGTGGTCCATGGGGTCACGAAGAGTCGGACACGACTAAACAACAACAATGGTAAAGGATGCTCTTCTATCACCTGTGTCAAAGTAAGATTCATCTTCCAGTCTGGTTGGATTCTGTATGTGGAATGCGGGGGAAGAAATTTTGGACTTTGCCTCAGGCAGCCCAAAAAATGCCTTGAGCCAGCCCTGGAGCTCAGTATAATTTCTGCTGACTGGTAGTGGCTTTCTAGGCCTTCAGACAGGGCACCTTCCCATCTCTACCGAGAGATGCCAGGGATTGAACCTGGAACCTTCTGAATAAGCAGGTGAGAAGGAACAATTGGGAGTCTGCTTTAAAGGCCTGATTGTTCCTTTGTGTCCTGTCCCACAACTGATGTCACCTCAGGTGTGGTTTAGGAAAAGTGGCTTCATGGAACAAATCAGGACCCCTGTTGAGCCTAATTAGGCTCACAGTCCAGAGATGTCTCACCTCAGCTCTACATGTTCCTGGACTACAATTCCCACTCTCCCTGAGCATTGAACCCGGCTGGCTAATGGGAGTTGAAGTTCAATAACATCTGGAGGGCCACGTTCCCCCTTCCTGCTTCACTGCTTTGAGAGGAGCTTCTTTTGTAGAAAGTGTTTGTGTGTACAGAGCAAGAGGTGCAAGGCCTACATGCAAACGTTACGGGGCAATTTTTTCTTTATTGCCTTTAGACACCAGCTGTGGAGATTAAAATCCAAAGCAGTCGGAAAAGTGGCCTCTTTCAGCACCTGGAAGGGAGCCAAGCTGCAAGGAGGTGGGGGAAAGCCTCATAACTGAAAGCTCTGCAGGGTTTACTGCAGACAGAACCCACAAAGTTGTAATTGCTCTCTGGGTGAGCTCTTCTCCAGGTGCCTGGCTTCTGCTCAGGTATCTTACTACTCAAGTGTGAACTCGGGAGAGATTTAGGACTGACTAGAAAACCAGGCACTCTTGAATGGTGTTGAATCCTTTCTCCACCCCTATCAATCTGGCCTTGTCCCTCACTTTTGTGCTGGCCTCATTTCCATTAGGAAAGATAGAGGGTCAACACCATCTTTCTGATCTCTCTGGGCCTCTAGGCACCTTTCAATGCTGTGAACAGTCTGATTTTACTAGACTGCTTGGAGGTGGGTGGGAGATGGTGGTGAAGTCACTTTGGTCATTTTTAATTGACCAATCTCAAGTAGGGTTGTTGAAACACACAAAATTTAGTCTGTGAAGCTGCCAACTGGCCTAGGGCTACTCCTGCTTAATAGTCTATTTGAAACCATCCAGAGGTTTGGAATAATGAGTAGAGCCATGACCTCACTTTTATTTATTTCTCTTTTTCCACCATCACCGGAACTGCAATCTGTCAGATAACAGGCTAAGTAGACAGTGTTAAGAAGAGTAAAACTAAATTCAGTCAAGACGGCTAGAAGTTGCTACATAGTTCACTAGTCACATGAGAACAGTTAGAACATTGTCATTGAGGGGCACATCGGGGATTAGGGATGAATGTGTCTTAAATGGATTTATAAAGGGAATTTGGTGGTTCTGACTCAACAGAGGTTTGCCAGCATATGACCAGCTCTTGTATCAAGCGTTGTTTTTGTTCAAGTTGTTTAGGCATTTTTGGGTCTCTTCAAAAAAGCCTGCAATATTATATGCAATATTATATGGAAATATATATATGCAAACCAATATGTATACTGTACATAAGATGTAGAGATTCAAGATGAGCATACTTTTATCAGTATTAATGCATATGTATTTTTATAAAGTCACATGCATAGTTGTATGTATCTGTTTATACGCTGGTTACTTTAGCAAACTTGGCATGCACAGTACCTTGGTTCTTAAACTTAATCTGTTCTGGGAGTCCGCTCGACTCCTGAAACTGTTCAAAAACCAAGGTGTGGCTTCCGATTGGCTGCAGGAGCTTCTTGCACTCAAGCGGAAGCTGAGTCGGATGTACAGCTTCCGAAAAACATTCGCAAACCGGAACACTTACTTCCAGGTTTGCGGCGTTCAGGAGCGTATTTGTTCAGGAGCCAAGCCGTTTGAGTACCAAGGTACCACTGTATTATGCAAGAATTTTTCATATTCTTAGCAGAACAAAACAAGAATTAAAACAAAATCTGTGCATATAAGCTCAACGTCGAGATTTTCAGAAAATTCCATCATAAAACATCATAAGCAGCAGTAAATGTAAAAAAAGGAAGGGGGGGAGATTTGAGGGCATTCTGGTTTTCCTGAACTCATCCCCGTAGTTTCAGTCCTTACCTGAACTCGGGCTTCAGTGAGATCTGTCCTCATGGCTAACTGCTCCCTGGCATAGACATCTGGGTAGTGGGTCTTCTGAAAGACCTTTTCCAGCTCTTCCAGCTGATAGCTGGTGAAGGTGGTGCGGTTCCGCCTCTTCTTGCCCTTGTTGCTCTCTGAGTCAGTCTTGTCCATCGGGCTGGGGAGGTTGCTACTCGCCCTCTCCTGGGATACCTTCACTCCGGTCTCTTTCACGCTGAGGTAACTGCCATCCATCCCGGCAGGATCTGAGCCTGGCTGCAGCTCGGCCTCTCCCAGAGAACTCTCTTTAGCTGTGTATGTGGTGGTGGGGGAAACGGGAGCAGGGAAGGAGATAAAGGAAACATAAAGCTGTGGATAAAATGAATGAGGCTGAGCTGGATTTACACCAGTCTGGAAAGGAAGAAGGTACGCACAGGGAAGGGTTGAGATGGGCAGATAAGGAAGGAAGGAGAAAGAGGCGAGTCAGGAGGAAGAACTTTTAAGAAGCGAGGAAGGCCGACCATTTGGCTTAGGCCATATATGAAAGGTGAAGGAAGCAGCTGGAGACCTATAAAATAAATAAAAGGATTCTGTTTTAATGACTTAAGGAAGATTAGCTCTAGATTCCACGCTGTCAGGGATTTGAATTTGTCTTGCTAGTTCGGCTGTGGTTTCCTGTGCTGAAGCAGATTACCGAAGGGCGTGTAACTGGCGATAAGGAGGATATCATACATATATATTATATATGCTTACACAGGGTGTTCCGTTTAATAGAGAACATGCATTCTACTTTTTATTCTGCAAATGCAATCACACTGCACAGTGCTATCTTGTTCACACAGCCTAAGTGTGAGGAAGTAGGGGGGAATCCAAAATGCTCTAATATTAAGGAAATGAATCTTTCACACAGATGTTGCGGTGCAGGTCAAATTAACCCACACATGAAAGAATGCAGTGGTGTAACTTGCAATCCTGTGTGCGTCTACTCAGAAGTAAGTCACACTGAGTTCAGTGGGGTATTGATTTCAGCCCTACAAGTCTAGCAGTTCTATTCTTTCTCCTTCAGCCAATTTAGCACTTCCTCTGCCCGTATTTGGTTGTGTCCCTTCTTCAACGAAGCAGACATTATATGATTACATATCCTACTCGTGGCAACCTGCTGCAGCAAAACCTTTCCCCAGCACCTAATAACAATGTTCCTCTTCAGGGCTCTAGTCAGCTTGGAACAGGATAGTGTTATTCAAATAGGGTTTGAATAAACACTTACAATTGAGAAAAAACAAAATAATGTAAAAAGTTAATAATTTGGTTCAGAAGGAGGAATATAAGATGATTACAATGGAGACTATCAAGTAAGGTTATATAACAGTGCAGAACTAACAAATGTACTAAAGAAACCAGATGGGGAAGTTGGGAGAAGCTGTAGGATGGGGGGAGGGGGGAATACTGGGAATGTATTGTTTGTGTTTTTTAAATATGTGAATATATTATGATGATGAAATATAAAGCTGTAAAACCAATAAAAATGTTAATAATAATATTTTTTTTAAAAAAGAGGATAGTGGCTACACCATAAAATATACATGAGGGAAGGTGTCACATAATGTGCAAAATGCACTTTTTTGTGGTAGATAAGCTTTGTCTCACATGCCGCATTTCTGAAAGAGGAATAATGGTACATTTTAAGTTAATGCCACTATTGTAAATGTATTTTACCTAAAGTTACTCCTATTGATTTTTATGGAGTTATACTTTCAAGTTAACAGGATTACAGCCAGGGCTTTTCTTCAGCCAGAATTCATTGGAACTCAGTTTTGGCACTTCTCAAGTGGGTCCCATTGCCATTATAAGAGAACAAGGGAGGCATTCATGGTGAGTTCTGGTACCTCTTTTTCTAGAAAAATAGCACTGACTATGGCTTTAATTTATCTTCGACTTCATGACCCAGTTATTTTTACACATCACTTGGGAAGACAGGCGAACTAATATCAGTGTACTGGAAGAAGCAAAGATCACCAGTGCTGAAGCAATGATTCTTCAACATCATCTTCGTTGGACTGGTCATGTTGTGTGGATGCCTGATGATCGTCTTCCAAAGCAACTAATCTATTCTGAACTTAAAAATGGAAAGCATAATGCTTGTGGTCAACAAAAGAGGTTTAAAGACTGTCTCAGAGCAAATCCAAAAAAAAAAAGTAGTATAAACACTGACAACTGGGAAACACTGGCCTGCGAGCGCTCCAGTTGGAGAACAGCCTTTACCAAAGGTGTCATGGGCTTTGAAGACACTCAAACTCAGAACGCAAGGGAGAAACGTGCGAAGAGGAAGGCACGCCTGGCAAATCCACATTGTGATCAACTCCCACCCGGAAACCAATGTCCCCACTGTGGAAGGACGTGTGGATCCAGAACTGGCCACCACAGTCACATATGAACTCATTGTTAAAACTGTGTTTATGGAAGAGAATCTTACTCGGCTATGAGTGATCGCCAAAGAAGAAGAAAGAAGATCATTTCCATAAGATAACTTCCTTTCCTTCAAGCAATCACTGGGGTCTAGCAATGGGGAGAAAGATGGCAGTGGTTGAGGGCAAGTGATGTGTAGGATGGAGTCCTTGCTCCCTCTTCTCTCTTGGGTGTCAGCCACAAAGAGGAGCCTTGAGGCATTATTAGGCCTTGTGGTAGGATGGAAGTTTCAAGAATGGAGATGGGGAAAGGATACCTTTCTTCTACACTGTTTTGAAACATGCTCCCACTACTATGGAAAGTCTGATTCAACAGAAGATTTAATAAGGATACCAGGAATTAAATGACTGCATATGTTTCATTTCATAAGAAAGAAAAAAAAGATGTTAAGGATATAGTGAACAAGGGAATATAAAGATGTATAAAACAATCAAAATATTGTGCTTTAATTTGTTGGAAGCTGCCCAGAGTGGCTGGGGTAACTCATTCAGATGGGTGATAGATGATAGATAGATAGATAGATAGATAGATAGATTAGATAGATAGATATAGATAGATATAGATAGATGATAGATGATAGATGAGAGATAGATAGAGATAGAGAGATAGATAGAGATAGAGATAGAGAGAGAGAGAGAGAGATAGAGATAGAGATAGAGATAGAGATAGAGATAGAGATAGATAGATGATAGATAGATATAGATGGATGTTTATGCTGTAACTAAGTAGTTAAAAGAATAGTGGAACTTGTTTTCTCAAAAACAAACAAAACAACACAAATACAAAAAAGCCAAGCAAAAGCAGACTTAGGATTTATCCCTACTTACTTGCCCTATTCTTTCCAGGCAGAGGTCTACACTTCAATAATCTGTGTCCAAACATTGGTGATGGTGGTAGTGGTGGTTTTCTCTGAGCTTTCCCCATAAAAACTTGCTCTTTAAAGCTGAATTGGAGCAAACTTCAATTCAGGTTTTCCATGGATTGATGTTTGCTCTGATTGAACTTTCGAGAGTAGTGTTTCATGAAGAACCTCCAGAGCAACAACAAAAAAGTGGGGGCTTTAAACTGTGGACTGTGCCTGGAAAGTGCACGGGAAAGTGTGGCCACGTTCTTAGAAACAGTGTAAGAGAACATTATGATGCAACCATAGTCGATCATTTATGGAGAGTGGTGCTGAGAACAATATGCACAACTTTCTTACTGAAGTCTATGAGGTTGAGGGCTCATCTACACTGAACATGTCCCACAGCCAGAAAGCATGGGTCTGAGCAGTTTTCTGCTTGTTCTGTGCTTTCTAGGTATGAGTCTGAATGGTTTTCCGTTTGCCCCACTTTCCCCCTGGGAAAACTCGCTCTTTACTGCTGAATTGGAACAAATTTCAGTCCATGGAAAATCCTATGAACATTTGTTCCAATTCAGTGGTAAGGAGCAGGTTTCCCTGGGGGAAAGCGGTGGGACAAGAGGAAGAGTGAACAAGCCCAGTATCTTTAACTTTGTAAAATATTTACTGCATAATGGATTTCCGGTTGTAGACTTACAAAAATGCTTTATGAACATGTAAGAAAGCTTTCTGAATGATAAGTTAATGTTTCCAGAAAAAAATACAGAGCACCTAAAAACAAACTTTAAAACAGTTGCAGTTATTAGTTTTTCCTAGAATTAAAATAATGTGTGTGTGTATACCCTTTCTTTTTTGAGCAAACTTTGCCAAACTACAGGTTTCGGACAGAGAGAAAATAAATACTTTAGAGTGTATTTGTTAACTCTTCCTTGAGGGTCCCTCTTTCTAGACTTTTTCCTGACCTTTAGATGTTCCTTTCTGTTAGACAATAAATGGAACATTTATTAACTGGTTGCTATATAAGAACTAACTAAGCAATTGTAAACTGATTGTGGAAAGCAATTGAGGTTTGTTTTTTTTTAGCTGGTTGCTGGGTTGATTTTTCTGCCCAGAACCCCTAAAAAGGCCTCATGCTGAGCTGTGCACATTGGGAAAATCAGAAATTAGACCTGAGATGGAGGTCTGAATTGCAAATAGGTGACCGGCAAGCTATCAGTAGTGTACAAAGCAGTGTTTCTATTCCTCTAGGGCTGTTTTCATCTTTTGCCATTGAGTACTCAAGAAAAAGGAAAAGGAAATAGCTGCTATGATTGTATCAATCAATTTACTTTAAAAGAGTAAAGAGTAACTTAGGGTAGATTTCTTCAGATCACTTTAAAGTTATTTCTATTTCATCCTTTAGTAAGAAACATCCAACCTTGCTCTACTCATCATAATAACCTGTAGAATAAACTAACTCCTACTTCTTACTGCAGGCAAACAAACATGCTTCTTGGTTGCTGGCTGAGTAGAGAATGCACCTAAAACTGAAAAGCAGAACAAAGGAAAGTCTGTGGGGTGGAGTCCAACTCTAGTCCATAATACAAAGTTCTAAAATTAAATTCTTCAAAAATCCTATAGGCTTTTTCTTTCAAGATCACTTAAGTAATTTTAGGGTGATTGTGCTGATGAAAAATCCACCCTCAGTTAGGGAAATTCTTTAGAGAGAAAACTTTTGGGGGCACTTCCAGCTAAGGCTTTCATTGTTCAACTGCACTGCCTTATTCACCAAACTTTTCAGAGGGTCCTATTCTTAAATTGCTCTTTTTTTAAAAAAAAAGCTATAGTTCTTTAAATGGAAGCTGTCATTGTCATGTTACATATTAAAATGACAATTCCCCTGCCCACAATAATAATAATAATAATAATAATCCTGGGGCAAGGGAAGCACAACTTTAAAAGGGTGGCACATCTACATTATGCTTGAATTAATGCCTTCTCCTTTGCCTTACAACTTAGCATTGT